CCAAGACAAGCGTTTGGTCCTATTGAGACTCGTCAGTGGTATTCAGGTAACCCCCCTTCCCTGTGATCGATGCCATCCCCATTAAGGCTTGAACCCGAGAGGGATCGCTTCAAATGCCAAAGCGTTTTGCTTCTTGTGCGATGCGTGTAGTGGCCTAGTTGATAACACTGTGTTACTTGAAGCGACGTGCACTGGGTCTGAGTCTCAGTGGGTTTAAAATCAGTCTATGAGAGGTAGGTACATCCTGCTGAGTTGTCTCAAATGGGACGAAACCTGCTTCCTGGGTTCTATTGATAAGCACTATCTACCGTTAATACATAATTAAAACACAGTCAATGTCAAATAAAGTAAAAACTTTTCATGTATTGATCATTTCTAGATGAATAATCTTTTTTGAAGAAAACGACTGTACTAGGTACAGCTATTATTAGGAGCGTCAATTCCTACTTTTTCAACAATAATGGTAACTCCTTATTATTTTCTGGTCATCTAGAGTCCCTATTGTGCTTAGGTGTAACCTCAGTTCTTTTGCTTACTTAGGAGTTAATATTTGGTTAGACGGCCATGATGCTAAACGGTATATAGTCAAGGGAGTTATACCTAATGGGTTTTTTTCTTTTCTAGGTATATCATATAAAAATAATAAACTTTATAGGATACAAATAGATTTTTTTTATTTATTGTATCTAATTATTTTTTCCTCATTTCTGTGTAAGCTAATAAATATAAATGATTCGAAATGGATACCAGTGTAGGCTATTAGGATACACTAAATGAAAGAATTTGAAACATCAAATTATAATGTATGGTCGAATATAGAATTGTAATACTAATTGTAGAGTAATCGTTAAAAGGCTTAATCGATTATAGACGATATTAAAAAAGTAATTGTGGGCATAAAACTGAGATGAAATTTTACTTTGAACCAATATATGTAACACCATTGTACAACAAAGATTCTCATTGTCAATATTATTTTTAGCCTTGTTATAGACATACTAATTGATATAATCCTATGTAGCTTTGACTTTTCAGCAATTAAGTTCCTTTCAAGAAGGTACTAACTTGATATATTATTATTATTATTTGTCCCTGGGGTTCCTAATGGGACACAGGGCTTCAGTAGAACGTCTCCATTCCACTCTCTTCTCTGCAATCTTTTCAACCTGGCTCCACCACTGCTCACAAGCTCTCATTTCTTCCTTACACAATCTCCTCCATGTCACCCTCACCTCAGACGCCCAACTCGTAGCTTCCCATTTGGGTTCCGCTCGAGTACCTGGTCTGGTGCATGATGTCCCCGAATCGTCTTCTCAGTGCATGCCCAATCCACCTCCACTCCCTTCTACATATTTGTTGAGCGATAAGTTCTTGGTTGGTCCGTTACCAGCCAGAATGAGTTCCTTGTTGCTTATTCCTATTATTCTGGCCATCTGAGCTTCAGTAATCAGCCAGAGTAGGCAGTTGTTGATGAATGTGTGTAGTTTGTTGGAAATCCCTTTCGTAACGCACCAAGTATCTGAACCATATAAAAGCACTGACTTGAAGTTGGCGTTGAAAATTCGGATATTGTTGACGCTTTATGCTGAGTGCAGTTGATCTCCACACTGGTTTCAGGTTAATGAAGGCCTGTCTTGCTTTTCCGATTCTGGCTGGCTTTGACGTCCTCGCCTGTGCCGCCGCCTGTAGTTGAAACGACGCTGCCTAGGTAGATGAAGGAGGTTACTTCCTTTGAGTTTCTCCCGTTCATGGTGATTGGAGCTTGTTGTTATTGTTAATGGTAGTGTTCGTTGGGTATCTTCATCACCTCTGTCTTCTCTACGCTCACTTGAATTCCCGTTTTCGCTTCCCTACCTCTTCTGTCAACTTGTTAGTTTTTGCCTGTACATCTTCAAGTTTGTGCTACATTAGACACAAGTCATCGGCGAAATCTAAATCATTTAGGTTCTTTTCCCTGGTCCAGCTAGTGTATCCCTCTCCTCTCGCTTCTCACTGTTTGTTGCATGATCCAGTCCACTACAATCAGGAAGATCATCGGTGATAGTAGGCGGTAACCTTGTCTTACTGTTGTGTCCTGTCTTCACTTCAAAAGCATCAATGGGCTTCGCATTGTGAATTACTTGGTATGTGGCGTCTTCATATAGTTGTTGAATGAGGGTGATAAATGTTTATGGTATTCCGTAGTGTTGAAGCAGTTGCCTGGCAAATTACTTGTCAGTGGACGCTGTCGGAGGCTTTTTCAAAGTCGATGAATTTGAGGTAGAGTGTTGACTGCCATTCTGTACTGTGTTCTATGATGATGCGTAGCGTAGCGTTGTAATTTGGTGGGCACATAATTTTTACTTCCTGAATCTAGTCAGCCTGTTCCGGTCATAGTTTTGAATCCAGCGCATCCTTTAGTCTCTCCAGGATGATGTGACCTAATATTTTGCTTGCCTTAGGTGGACAGGAGAGTGATTCCGCACCAGTTCTTGCAAAAACTTAGGTCGCCCTTCTTCGGGAGTTCGACAAGGACCAGCTAGTAACTAGTGAACTGGTTAACCAGGCGTGGTCAGGTTGAGTACTCAAATGACGTTCTTCAGTCAGGTGAAGATGTTGACAAAGTGGAAAGCCTTAGGGATGTCTTGAACAGAAATCTGTGTATGCTTTACATGCTTTCTACAGCTGTCATATTTAAGATAATGTTTATGGTTTTGTTTGAATCACTTCTAGTTTGAATATATAGCGGTAGATTGTTGTAATTCTTTAACAGTGTCAATTACTTTGAAAGTCACATAGACCTAAATGTATGGGTTGCTGATGAAATCTTAGTTTAGATGCAAAAGTTTTGTTCGGTATTCGCTAACTTACATAATCCTCAGAGTTGGTGAGATATACGACTATCAGTTATATGACTAGCTTACTGGTAGACAGTCCTCTCTGTCCTAACAAACAACCGCATGACATGCCTGTTTAGAGTAGGAGATTAGAAGAGGCTACATGGATTTTGATCAGAGACATCATTGAAGGATTAACAGTACAGAGTGGAATCGCTGTTTTTATGCAACTGTCAGGTTAGGTAGACAGCATCTAGCGAGAAATGAAAGAAGATCGATAGGTTTGTGAAATTTCATCAAGTGAGGCAGCGTAAGAATTCGCTCATCTTCAGATATGACGTTGAGTGGAGTGACATTAAGTTGTTTGAAAGGCAAGAGGGGTCGAACCAAGACATACCAGCATCCCATCCATCTCTGAATGCTGACATTAGTCATTTAGTCGCATTGATGGAGGTCTTGGGATGAAAGGAACTAATGGTTTGAGACTGTGTCATATATCTCAGGCTCGAATTAAACGGTGGATCATGATCCTTGAGTTAATAAATCTTATGTGTACATATGTTTACCTTAATATTATTCTTTTTGCATTCATTTCTGTACACTTTGGTTTGAACTTTGACAACGTCCACTGTTCCAATTATGTTACCTCTTATGCTAATTTTTTGGTTGATCTGCTAACTGAAGCCTAATAAAGGAAGGAACCAGAAAATCTATTATCAAAGAACATAGGGATCAGTCACTGTGTCTGATCGACTTTAAATCTTTTATTTGTGATAGCCATTCTAAAGTTGAGTAAGATCCACTAACACTACTTACTATGAAACATAATTTTATTCTTAACTTTTTGGTCAATATGCATCAGGAGAAGAGCAAGCAGACTGTAATAACTACCTATCTCTTTCATGTCAGCTTTTCTGGAAGCCTATTCACCTTTCTTTTTAATGTAACTGACATTCAAGTTATTTGTAAATTGGAATATGCATTTGTTACACACAAATATATTGTGTTTCTATCCATCAGTATTGGATCAGTAAGTGTGGTGCACTTCTGGCCATCATTTGTTAGAAAAACAGAAGATAACGGAAATGTAGAAGAGTATAATGTTCAAATCAAACAGGCTTTCTGTGCATAGAATAACATATAAAAACTCTGGGATCGTTATTTGAGGTTAATAGGATAATGAAGCTTAATGACTGAAGAACTCATGGTCATTTATTCAACTAAATAAATTTGTGTATATTTGACCATAAAGTTCAGTCACTAACACTTTAGTGAAAAATGGTTGGAATATTTATATAACACCTTGAAATCCTTGTCAAGTTTTCAGCTGCTCAGATCATTCAGTCATTTAGTCAGTTAATGTCAACATGGGATCTAACCTAATTGGGTAATGGTTAAAGTTAATACACAAAATATTACCCCATGAAAATACTACGGCTTAAAGTAATCAAGACAAGAAAATGAAAACGCAATTAATGAAGCTTACTAAAAATCACAAACAGCAATGAAGGAGGGATAAGAAATTAACGGATGCATGTTCCCCGCTGAGCTTAATTCTGAAACAACTAGCCTGAAGCTTCTATTTAATGAGGTCAATGAACGCATAAGTTCCACATTCATATTGAGAGCTGACTGATGATGAAATGGAAATCTGAGTCACGGTAGGTTGTTCATTTCAGGTTCACTCATTAACCATTATCATCAATATAAGTCTTCCGAACTATGACAATCTCACATAGTCAAACTGATAATTCTACATTCTCCTAGGTGGCTTAAACCAATAGTCATGTTATGATGTCGTGTTCCCGTTGAACTACCTCCAACGTTTCTCCAACCCACCTAGGCCTGTGAAACTTTGCAACCTCGAATGACTTACTTCTTTTGACTTAAACTCTACACTTGGATACTGGGTTACTGTAACAATGGTTTCATTACATACAAATCCACAATGAAAAACTTCATGTTATAAAATCACCAAGAAGTTATTCAATAGAATGAACCAGTTTATCCTTTGATATTTCACATGTATATGGATTATGTCACGTTACAAGATAACCAATAAGGACTTATAATATCACCTCATTCGAATGTAGATTACGGAAATACAGATGCATATATATATGTGTACACATTTTCAATGATTAAAATACTAAGCTTTTCTTTTACTTTTTTCATTATTTCTAGAGTGTCTCTGGTGTATTCACAACACTACGCGTATTTCGAGTGTTCAGAGTATTCAAATTCTCTCGTCATAGTGTTGGCTTACGGATACTTGGTTACACTTTGAAATCTTGTGCTTCTGAATTGGGCTTCCTTCTGTTCAGTTTAACAATGGTTATTATAATTTTTGCTACAGTAATGTATTATGCTGAGAAATCTGTTGAAGGAACCACCTTTTCTAGTATTCCATCATCATTTTGGTATACTATTGTTACAATGACTACACTTGGGTGAGTTTGAGCAGTAAAAATATTTTTTGAATAACTCTTATTAGAGTACAGTTATCTTATGTCAAGGTGTTATAAGTCACTTTAACCAAAAGTTCCAATGATTACAGTATGATGGTAGAGTTTTAGTATCTGAACTTCAGCCACTTTTCAGTATTTTAGGAAGGATAAACTTATATATATATATACATATATGCAACCGGTAATTTGATGAAATACAAAATATCTGATTGTCGAATACTTAAAGATTAATCAACGGCTTGATTCTAGGTACAAGAAATAAATACAAACTACCTGATTCTGTGAATTCTGTGTGTAGTTATCAATTCAGCTGCTGCTGTGGAGCTAGTCACGTTGGGAGTAGAATGAGGCGGTTCCATCGTCGAATTTCTGAGCACCACCTATCATGCTTGAGCAAAGGATAAAGTAGAACAATAACAAGCTCCATACTTGCACACCTAGTTGACACGAGACATCAAGTTGATGCTAGAAAAGCTTTCAAAATCATTCATCAGATTGCAATTAATTTACCACATGGATTATGCACTCGGTTACTTCACATAGGAGAGGCGATTGCAATCCACTTTCACAAACCTAACTTTTGTATCCAAAAAAAGTTTGTCCGACCACTTTCATTATGATGTAACTTTTAGTATTACTTCAAACATCTCTTCCCCTTCTTGTTTCTATCATTATTCATTTATTTTCTGGCTATGATGCAATAATTTTTTGTTTTTCTGACTGAACACTCACTAAAAATCACTTGATTTACCAAAGAATAGCCTACTTCATATTTCCAGTTTCAATAAATTTATTGATTATTTACATCTTTATTTCTAAAACTTATCATGTTCATGGCTTATTTAAAGGTTATAATTATTGTTCACCAACTCCCCACTACCACTTAATTGGTAATTAAATTCTGCGGCCTGATTGAACGTTGAGCTATCAAATTTATCCATCGAACATTTTCATTAAATTTTTTCTTTTCAATTTGTTTTAATTGCTTAAATATGTCCTTTGAACGTAATACGTTCTCTTGTACATTTTAAAACTATTTTTAATTCTCTATTTCTCGAAGCTATAGGAAAGCACGGAAAAAATGTTACGTTTTATGGATATAAACTTTTCGGTGTAAAAAAGTACTTCATATTTCCGTCGGTCGGATCTTTAGCTTAGTTGCAGATTTTTGTACCGTCTGAATGAACCACCACCACTGAAATTACGCTTGCATTTCTATTGATTCTTCATTATGAACCGGATGCCCATTTAGAAGCAACTAGCTATTTCACATTATTGCCATGAATACTGTAATTATTAACATTAAGCAGATGCAATAACCATTTTGTCTGAAATTATTGGTTTGGAAGTGAATTTATTGAAAAATTACATGCTAAAATTTCATGAGGCATACATATTGCTTAGAATAAAGCGATTATTATTATAAAGTTGTACAACTATACATTAATCTAGGGCCCAAGACTAAAAGCTAATTGTAAAGGAATATATTTCTAATCTCAATCAGTCTGGTTCAAAATGCAAATATTCAATATGTCGTAATAATTTAACCTAGTTCATTATATTGGTTCACATTACAGTGAAGTAAACAGATTAAATGACAATGAAAATAAAATTCCATCATTTGAAGAAAAGACTTCAAGTGAACGTAGAGAAAACAGAGGTAATGAAGATAACCAACCAACAACAACAACAGCATCATCAACAAACGCCAATCACCATCAATAACAGAAATATAAACAGTTATCTCTTTCAAATAACTACTCATCTAGGCAGCATCGATTCACCTACAGGCCACACAGCCGAAAACCAGGACAGCAAAACAAGCATCCAAAAAATACCAAGACAACACTTTCTGCGTTATTCTGAAATAATCAGTGTGGAGATCCACTGCACTGCTCTCAGTATGAAGCCTCAACAATATACGCATTTTCAACACTGATTCAGTCAAGTAAATCAGTGCTTCCATATAATGCTGGTTGACAGACTTGGCGCGTTACCACAAGCATTTCCAACAGCAACAACAACAACAATAACAGCTACCACCTTCGCTCACTCGATACTGACACCGAAGATGTAGATCAGATAGTCGGGATAATAGTAATAAGCAAGGAGGAATTCTGACTGGCTGCACACAACAACCAACCAACCAAGAAGCTATCACCCAACAAATATGAAGCAGAAGAAGAAAGTGGAGATGAGATGAGGTGAAATGAGATGAGATGGATTGGATTGGCTTGGATTGGATTGGATTAGATTGGACATACACTGAGAAGACGGTTTGAGGATATCAGGCACCAGGTAGCAGGCTAGACCAAGTTGTCTAGTGGAAGCTAAATGGGAGATGAGGAGTTGTGTGTTGTAGGGTGACATGTAGGAGATTGTGTTTAGGATATAATGAAATGTTGTGTGCAGTGTTGGAGTGAGGAGTGATGAGACTGTATAGAAGAGAGTGAAATTTCGATGTGCTAGTGAAGCCGTATGTCCCAGTGGGAATTCATTCGACAAATAATAATGATAATGTGCGTTCGGGGACCGCGTAATATTGTAGCCATATTGAACATTGTACCAAGTTTCACAAGTTGACAGAAGAAATGATGTCAATCATTTAACGATTTTACCTGTTATATTTAAAAGTTTAACCCTTTATTCATTCAAAGGTAAATAAAGAGAATCACCTACGTCTTGTAGGTTATTTAAAAATCTTGACTACTTTATTTTAATTGTTTATATTTCATGATATAAAGAAGAACAATTTTCATTAGTTTCATTTAAAATTTATTATCTATTTGTTTGTCTCAGCAGCAGATAATAACGGAGACAAACTTCAAAAGTGGAATGAATATTTTGAATGTTGAATGTAGTAATATTGAAGGAAGTGGCATATAAACATTGACTTGCAAACAGTATACTTTGTTAGTAAATAGTTTAACTAATAATTAATTCGTAATGCTAATCAATCTACATGACTACTGAATTAAATCCGTTAAGATCAGATCAGTGACTTTGATAATATATTGACCTTGAGTATTTAGTTCTTATGATTTTTTATGCATATTCAGTAAGTTAATGTTTATTTTAGCGCCTTTTCGAGACGTTAAGTGTTAATTAGTTAAACCGAAAGGGATTTATGATCAATATCATAAGTCTAGGTCATTAGTTGCTAAATTAAAAGTTCAATGGTATCCAGATGTAAAAATGGACACCATCGTTTGAATAATACTTTCTTCAGTTTCTCTTCCCAGTCAGTGGATTCGTTAGAGATCCTTGTGTGCTATGAAATTTTTTCAAACTGTAAAAGGATTCTCATTTCGACATTATTGATCAACTTTATAGATTTTTGCCCCAAGATATATTTCTGTGTAAATGACACATATAATCTGCTACTGAAGGATAGAATGATAGATCATCAGCTAAGCTGCTGAAATCTCAAGCAGCTGATTTCTGATTCGAAGGCTCCTCCTTCTACTTTAACCTTGACAATCGAGTAGTATTGTAATCCCTCACATAAGGTATAACTCACAGCCTAGCATGTAAAACATGAGTCAGTATGAGTTGTATATCACTGAGATGAACTTGAATTGAAATGAAAGATTCCTTTAAAAAAAGCGAAAAGAGAGATAAATTAAGAGGACTTAGACAGAGCCATTCATTTAATTTCTGTTTCAGTTTAGTGGTTTAGTGGGGATCGTTTTATCTGAAAACAGTTTTCTTTATGAAATAACATCATTTAAAGATCTTCTGAAAAGTTGAAAGCACTGAAATATTATTTCATCCTAGCATAAAACTGTTCAACAGAGCGGACCTATAACACTGCCAGGGATAGAACCAAGCATGCTATCAATTGGCTAGTGACTTATAATCCAATGTTTGATTTCTTATGGGATGACTATCACCTACTACTATCAGTGAGTATTTCTCCTTACACTCGAAATGTGATGGAGTTATGGGAATTTGAACCCTTGGATTCCAACTCACTGGCTGAATGATAATGAGCTCGTCGATAGATTTAACGCCACTGGGCTCAGCATCCTGCTGAAAAGTCGTATAGCAGGAGGGAGCAGGACTTGCAGACTTTCAGTTTCTCAGTAGTTCCTTTGGTAATGTCAGTCCGTGATGAATAGTATTTTATAGTCCATGTTACTTCCTTTATTTCTTCTGAAACGTTTTTACTATTGTAAAGAGCATCATTTAGTGTAATTTCATCTCTTCGTGTCAGTCATTGCTAAAATAGCATTAATCATGGCCTGATATCATTAAGAGAATCACTAAAAATTTGAGAGCACTAGACAGGCGTTTCATCCTATTATGGGACTCCTCAACCATACAAAGCCTTGATGTAGGTAGGAATCGAACTCAGGACCTTGTAGTTTCACAATGCTATATCGTTAACTGACAGAAGTTGGAAACTATAAACCATTGACTGAATAATCCTGAGTTCGATCTCTAGCTGCATACTGTTAAGGAGTCGTATACTAGAACGGAACAGCTATCCAGTACTCTAAGGTACTCCAAAGGATGTCAGTTTATGATGAATGTAATCTTAATAATAGTTATAATCATATGAACAACTTGTCGGTTAAAAAATTAAGTCAGACAGAATTCATTTCGAAGAGGTGAAACATATTTTTTTCAGATTATTGAATTATTTGTAAAGTATCTCTTCATATAATTTCTAAACTTTAATTTTTGCTTTTTTTCCTTTGATATGAGATGATAATACTTAACTAACAAACAAGATGTTGATAATGTAAACATGTTGTTACTCTAAATTTATGCAGACACTTACTGTTTCCGTGTCTATTCCTTTTAATGATCTAAGTGTTTGTATGTATCGTTAAAATAGGCAAGACGGGACCCTGTTATGAAAAACTTTCTTACTTCAGCTTTTTTCTAATATATATATACAAGATAGTTAACAGGGCATGTGTAAAGGATGAACGTGTTCCACATGTGTATACACTAATATTGAGTCACTTAAAGAA